AAATAGCTTCTCGTTTCAGCTGCTTTGTGATGAAATGCCGCTCTAGTATCCATTTCTGTAATTACATATTTGTGGTGTAAAAATTAATCGTCTGAGTTTCTTGTTACTTGGGTTATTTATTCGGTAGTCTTCTGAGCTACATGTACTAGCGCGCGTGAAAAACAGATTTTGCAAAACAAGCCTGAGATTTCAATATTTCTTTATCAAATTCAAACGAAGTACGAAAAAATAAAAAGGTTATTGGCCGGCCTAGGTCGGTCCGTATTGAGAAAAACTGTGCCCTTGGTCTTGAGTAAGGCCCTCGGCCTAACGGCCTCGGGCCTTACTCAAGACCACGGGCACAGTTTTTCTCAATACGGACCTCCGGCCGGCCAATAACCTCTATATATTTATTTACTTTTCTCTTATTTACTTTTCTCTTGGTCTTGAGTAAGGCCCTCGGCCTAACGGCCTCGGGCCTTACTCAAGACCACGGGCACAGTTTTTCTCAATACGGACCTCCGGCCGGCCAATAACCTCTATATATTTATTTACTTTTCTCTTATTGTTTAACTGTTTTTTTTTTTTTTTTGCATTTGCCGATATTAACACTGACTTTTGGACTTTGACCATCGACAACCGCGCCCGCTGCATCAGGTCCAGGACAACAGTCAACTGATCGTGTACAGCTGGAGAGTTCAGCCGAACTTACAGGGCATGCAACTCTTTCGCGGACAGAGGCGGGACTAGCCACATATGAATCGCTTAATGATCGCAGGCACGAGTGTGCATATGCCACCCTTGATAAGGCCAACCTGGTATCAACGTTTCATGTCGGAGAAAAAGAAGGAGCAGAAAAGCAGACGCAGTCAGATGATGGATATTTGGTTCCATTAGAGCAGTCACATTATGAATATTGTGTTCCATGAGGAAGCTACGAAGAAGCTTGAGACGTGTGGAGTGGTTGATTTGAAAAATGCGAAAAATGTTCCTAACAGCCCTTAACCCTCTTCTATATACAGGATAACACAAACTGATCGAAGCTAATAATAGCATTATCTAGATAATGGACGACGATGTTGGAAAATAGTTACAATAGAATAGTTAAAATGACACAGCGTAATGGAATTACTGCAATTTGATTGATTATATTTTAAGTCACTTTGGAAAGATAAAGTCTTATGGTAATTGTAGTGAGATATTGAGATCGTGTGACGAAATAATAAAAATATGCATGATCTTTGTTGCAGCACATCTTGTTGTTGGGGGGGGGGGGGGGGGGGGGCTTTTATTAGCTTTTGTTTATTGGAGATTTCCAGATCTTCATAGTTAAATTCTCGTTTTCTTGTATTTTCTTTGCATTAAAAAGAGAATCCACAAGACAGGAATTTAAACAGTTCCTTGTTTTACACGGGACGTTCAAAAGTAAAGACTACCTCATGTTTCAATAATTTATTCCTGTAATTTGGCTGTTTCATTTTATTATCATAATTATGTGAAATGCCGAGTTTCCTTTCTTAGAATAATTAGGCCCGGGCCAAACGTCTTTTCATGAGTCGAACTAAATTCAGCGAATTGAGTTCATGAGAAGTTCGACGTTTGTCTTAATTAAGTACGACTGATTTTACTTGGATCGACGTACACGTTCTTTCCGTCTGAAGCAGACTTATAGAACGACCGAAGTTCGTGTTCGTGTCAAACGTCGAACTTTTCACGAGTCGAACTAATTGCATAATTAAAAATATATATATGAAATGTGAGAAATATATTTTTCTGTCAGTGACACAAGCTATATATATATATATATATATATATATATATATATATATATATATATAAAAAGGTTTAAAAAAGGCTAAGGACGGACAACTTCTGACGATAAAAAGTAAAAAATTAATGAAAACGTTTCGGTCTTAGACCTTCATCAGTTCGTACAAACAGCGTGTGAATTACAGAGTTGATATTTGCTTATATAGGATTACATTGTTTACTATTCTAAAATAACTCTTACAGGGTGATTACGTAACAATTCCAAACTTTCAGAAATACAGTGTTAATTATGAAATACAGTGTAAATTATGAAGTAACAAATAAGGCCAGTAATTTTGCTTAGATAAGATTTCGTTAATTAATGCTGTAAATAAACACCTAAGGGTGTGTAATGACTAAAAGAAAATATAGTTTTCCGTGTTAATTACAAGGTAACAGAGTTCTAAAATCTTACGCAACCAAGACACTTTACAATCTGAGCGTAACAAATTCCATATACCAAGCCCATGAATAAACGCGGCGAATGAGAAAACATAACAAATGCCTCGCACGGGGTCCTTAAACGATGATCAAAACAAACGTAATAAATGCCCCACCAAAGCCCTTGAATAAATTCTACGCTCACATAAATAACATATTCCCGGGACAGAGCCCTTGAACGCTCTAGATTGAATTGGTAACCTGGTTGCGTTTAATAAATTATATAACGAAATTCATTATCAATATTGAAATAAAAATAATAAGAATTAAGAAGAGATGATTGCAATGCGGTAACTTGTACACTTGGAAAAGCTAATTGTAATTAATTCTATTTTTTGAATGAAATTCTTGTCTTTTGTTTAAGCCGTGGGGCGCTAAAGAGAATAATTGCGCGCTCCAGTAGGCCTCTTTGGTAATTAGCAAGCTATCTAAATTCTCAGCGTCACTGGCAGACTCTACTTGGTCAATACACTGAAATGTGAAATCTTTTAAGACGTGTAAGCTCTTATTGTAATGTACCGCAACTTCGCAGGTTTTTTTGTTGGTTGTCATTGCTGATTTATGATTACGGAATCTAACCTTAAATTCTGTAGCGGTAGATCCTACGTACTGTAAATGACATTTGGTACAAGAGGCTAGATAAATGACATTTTTGGAGTCACAAGACAATTTAGATCGAATTGTATAACTTTTGCCAGTTTGATAACTTTGAAAAGATTTTGACTCTACGAAAATTTTTTACACAGATCGCATCTGTCCCTACTGCACTTGAAACAACCTATTATAGTATTGATAGTATTGGCCTCCTGCTCTACAGTGGTCCTATGTCTGGATGGTGCTAGGATGTCTTTTAAGTTTTTGGACCTGCGGAATGATGGTATAATGGAATTTTGAGGAAAAAATTCTTTCAATTTGGGATTAGATTCCAATAAATGCAAATGCTTCTTAATGATGTGACCAACATCTGGTAAATTGCGATTAAATGTAACGACGAATGGAAAAAGTTTCTTAGCTGTCCTAGTCCGGGGTTTAAGCAAGTCATTTCTGGGAATGGTGGACGCCTTAAGAAACTGATCTTCAACTAGTTTAGTAGGATATCCCTGACTGATAAGATAGCCCTTGTATTCTGATGTCTTCTCAATTAGGAAATTCTCATCCGAGCAATTTCTCCGCAATCTAGTGGCTACTCCATAAGGGATTGCCTTAAAAACATGTTTGGGGTGTGCGCTTGAAGGCGGGAGATACAAGTGGCTGTCCGTAGGTTTGGAATAAACATTGGTTTTAATAAAACCATCAATTAAGTATAACGTTAAATCTAGGACATGAAGCTCTCTCTCCGAAAAGACCAACTCAAACTTAATTGTGTGGTAAAGGGAGTTGATGTATTCAGTAAAAGCCTCTAAAGCAGGAAGGCCCTGCCGCCAGAGATCAAATACATCATCACGGTATCTCCACCATAATGAGGGTTTTATGGGGCCGCAAAATTTAGCTTTAAAATCGATTTCACCCATAGCCAAATCAGCATAACTACAGGCATTTTTGGGACCCATAGCAGTACCATGAATTTGTAGGTAAAAACTTTCCTTGAAAACGGAGTGGTTACAATTGAGGCAGATCTTAACTGCTTCTAAAATACAATTGGTGGATGGAAGCTGATTTTCTCTGGTAGAAAGGGCCTTCTTAACTGCAGATAAACCTGGTTGTTGTCAATGTTTGGAAACATCGAAACTACATCCCACGAGACAAGCAAAGTGCCCTCTGGAAAAGGACCACTCTTATTCAAATCCTCTATCCTATTGAGTAGATCGGTGGTGTCCCTAATGAAAGATGGTAATTTACGGGCAAGTGGCTGCAAGTAAAACTCAGTGAAAGCTGACAAGTTTTCAATTGCCGTGCCACAACAAGATGTAAGTGTACAAGTTACCGCATTGCAATCATCTCTTCTTAATTCTTATTATTTTTATTTCAATATTGATAATGAATTTCGTTATATAATTTATTAAACGCAACCAGGTTACCAATTCAATCTAGAGCGTTCAAGGGCTCTGTCCCGGGAATATGTTATTTATGTGAGCGTAGAATTTATTCAAGGGCTTTGGTGGGGCATTTATTACGTTTGTTTTGATCATCGTTTAAGGACCCCGTGCGAGGCATTTGTTATGTTTTCTCATTCGCCGCGTTTATTCATGGGCTTGGTATATGGAATTTGTTACGCTCAGATTGTAAAGTGTCTTGGTTGCGTAAGATTTTAGAACTCTGTTACCTTGTAATTAACACGGAAAACTATATTTTCTTTTAGTCATTACACACCCTTAGGTGTTTATTTACAGCATTAATTAACGAAATCTTATCTAAGCAAAATTACTGGCCTTATTTGTTACTTCATAATTTACACTGTATTTCATAATTAACACTGTATTTCTGTAAGTTTTGAATTGTTACGTAATCACCCTGTAAGAGTTATTTTAGAATAGTAAACAATGTAATCCTATATAAGCAAATATCAACTCTGTAATTCACACGCTGTTTGTACGAACTGATGAAGGTCTAAGACCGAAACGTTTTCATTAAATTTTTACTTTTTATCGTCAGAAGTTGTCCGTCCTTAGCCTTTTTTAAACCTTTTTACTTCATTCACATGCCGAGGTTTGGACTGCGAATCCTTACAGGATCCTCCTGGCGAAGTAACATCTCTGTTGGCTCGAGTGGCACCGTCAAACTTCTATATATATATATATATATATATAGCTACTTGGAAAACAAATTCCGAGTTCCGCCAACAGGAGTCGAACCTATCATAGGTTCGACTCCTTCCGCACACCGGTCGCACGCTCTACCACTGAGCTACAGGAGACTCGTGGGAGCTAACGCCATATAACTAGCTAGGTTCAAGTGTGACAAAAATCCCGCATACTGCTAGGATTAGATATGAAATGTATTTGATATGAAATGTATTTTAAACCACGGATTTAAATATTTCGCATTGCATGTTGACTGAATAGTCTTCAATTTCTTCGCGTTCCCCGAAAGACATAAGAAAGCATGCGCAATTAATTATTTGATTCGGAATGAAAAGTGGCTCCATTTCGTCCACATCTTCGGAAATCTTCGGAAAATGGTCGGAAAGAAAAGAAGCACACAGCTGACCAAAACGAAATTGATCGCTTTGCAAGTTGCGAGAGCATGGTTTCTCGGTCCCAAGCCCTGTCTCTATCCCCCCCCCCCCCCCCCGTTCTTTATTATCTATATATTTTAAGAAGAAATTTGTCGAATATATATAAAAAAAGTTAACTATGGCATAATATATTTACCAGCAAATTCGTAATGAAAGAAATGTACGAAAACTAGGAATCAGAATGGTGTTTGGACTTTGAAAGTCAAAGAAGAGAGCGCAGAAATATAGTTTCATCGCGGGCGAGGCATTTAACTGATTATATATTGAATTAATTTCAGTAGTGTACGTATCATTATAAATCATGCACTTTGACAATATAGACACTCGTTCAAGTCAAATCATTTGATTCTGATAACACCATTATCACGCTATCTTATAGATCACGTTAAAGTCGACAATCGCGTCCGCTACACTACCTCAAGCCTAGGACAACAGTCAACTGATCATGTACAGCTGGAGAGCTCAGCCGAACTTACAGGGCATGTAACTATTTCGCGGACAGAGGCGGGAATGGCCACGTACGAAACGCTGAATGGTCGCAGAGAAGAGTGTGCATATGCCACCCTTGATAAGACCAACCGGACGTCAAGGTGTGATAGAGAAAAAGACGGAGCAGAAAAGCAGACGCAGTCAGATGATGGATATCTGGTTCCATTAGAGCATGCGCATTATGAATATTGTATTCCATAAACTGTTGGAAGCTACGAAGAAGCTTGAGACGTGTGGAGTGGTTGATTTGAAAAATGCGAAAAATGCCCCTTACAGCCCTTAACCCTCTTCTAAATTATACAGGACAACATAACCTGGTCAAAGCTAATAATAGCATTATCTAGAGATGTACGGTGATGTTGGAAAATAGATACAGTAGGAAAATTAAAACGAAATAACGTAATTGTAGTGAGAGATTGAAATGACTTGACGTGTATTTTAAGAACCTTTATATCAACCTGTAAATATAAAATTTGCTAGCGAATATAATTTTTATGTTTTTCTCTCTGATTATTATCATTACGGGGATACCTACATTGTAATTCAATCACGCGTGGATATTGTTATGTAATCACGCAAGGCACGTGCAGGCTTGGCTAGGGGGGTGTGGGATTACAATGTATTGAACCCCCACCTTTTATGTATAGTTTAAAATACTCGTTCTCTTGTATTTCTCTTCTGATTTAAGAGGCACTCGAAGACAATAATTAAACTGTTCCTTGTTTTTGTACAGTTCCTTGTTTTTATACAGCTTATATAACTTATAACTTGTTTCAATAATTTGATTCATGTTTGGCTGTTTTCATGTCAGCATAATCATAATTATGTAAAATGCCGAGTTCCTTTTTAAGAATAACTTCCTTGATCGCTGTGGCATGCCAAACGCTGTGGTTTGCCAAAATCAGGATACCGTGTCAGCGTGTACAGTGGTTTCCTTGTTCGCATCAATAAATATCTGGCTTTCATTCTTTTCTTTACTTTACTGAAGATTATATCGCCTGAATGTATTCGAAGTAGTCCGTATTTCCTCGACTTTCGCAAAGCATTTTAGTTAGCTTTCTCTTGATCATTTTTTAGTTTTAGTTAGTTATTTTCGAGTGTTTCGTTTACTGTATACTAGCAGCGTCGTTTTAGCGCAATCATGACATAGATAACTGACATGTGGCTGAAGCATTGTCTCGCAGTCAAAATGAAATATTATCACAATTCCGGTTAGCTTTTTATTTTGCTTTCGTTGTCCTTGAAGCTTAGTCGGAAAACATTTGATCATTATATGATGGAGGGAATACCTTTCGCAGTGATTGCCGCTATTCTTGTGCTCACTTTCAGCAATGAAGTACAAGGGACTGCAGGTGAGAGAAATCATTCATTTCCACGTATTAATGTAACTTTAATTACTTAAGTTACAATGACCGCCGTATACTTTTTCGAGCTAGAATTAGGCTGATTTTATCGAACGAAAGTGATCCGCAAGGCTTACCCTGCCCACCGAATTGGATGCAAACGCTTTATCACTCTATCTCTATTTATATTAGTCCTGACCATCTAAGCCAGTCGCTCGAACTCAGTCATCCTCGTTATGCCTGTGCGGCACATGGGGCCTTTACGAGGTTATTTCCCTCGTGTGGTTTCAGTAAAACTACATCTAAGTAGAGAGTGCATAGCCTATAAACTCAATACAGCTTATTAATGAGGCTATCAGCTGTTGCTACAGTTAATTGTGGGAAGATATACGAGTTCTCTTTGTTTTCATTTTAATTGAAGTTAGGAAGTAACATGATTCGATATTCATCATGATTGTTACAAATACACATTTCACATGAACTATGAAGATAATCCTAACAGTTGGTCTAAAAGCATTCAATTGTGTGAGGATACTGGAAGCCTTCTTGTTTTTATTGAAAGTTTCGAGGAATGGCCGGCTTTTTGAAACAAACAATACAAACCATGAAAACCGGGGAATACTTTATAGACCTTTATAGGCTTAAGAATAGATGAAACATCTGGAGAGTGGAGACGGATAAGCGATAACAGCATAGTGAATGTATTTAAACAAGGAACCTGGCATTGGTCACCATTTGAACCCAGCAAAATACCAGCAAATGAGCATTGCGTGCTTGTGTACAAGTTTTACCTAAGTAAATAAATTCGTCTTTGACTTTCATCAAAATTCCTGAAATTGCTTCGCACGAGGGAGAAACGTTAACGCCATTACAGATGCCCGATAATACGGATGAACGCGCGGATTCCATGCTCGAGCTACTGAATTTCATGGGCTGACATTTCTCGCTATCTTTTAATAGCGATGGTAGAGATAGGTTCTCGAGTTTACAAAATCCAACGATTTTTTCGTATATTCCCGACGATCGCTATAGAATGGTATAGTATACACTCCTCTAAATATGGGGTGTTGCTGCAACGGCCAACAACGCACCTGGAAGGCGTTTCTACGGCTCCTGGGTTGACGCCACTAGCCGCTGGATCCATTCCCCTCTCAAACGCGGCCGTGAAAAAAAATGCGGCGTTTTAATTAGGTGACTTTGCCGGGGCACAAAAAATCGAGGATTCAACCAAATCCAAAAATGTATTCGCAGAAATACTTCAAATTGCATGTAGATTTATTTAAGCGAATAAAACGTTTTGGGGTTATAAGCACTTTAACTATATTCTTAGCATATTCTTAGAATTTCGCCAATCTCATCCTCAATATTCTTATAACAAATATTAGTACAAAAGAAAACGAGTTTACCGGTACTTGATTACCGGTGTTCGTCCAACTAATCCTTCATTTCTAATTCAGCTCATATAGTTTTTATGTTCTGTTGTTCTTTTCCACGGAATTCCAGATGGAGAGATAGTTTGTTCTTGCTACACCTTTGAAAATGGCACGCACCGTCCACGCTCGTTCCCTGCATTACTGTGGCCACAAGCAAAGAATAGCTGTGAAAATAACAACAGACATCTCGTTGTCCTGGAAACAGAGCGAGAATGGGAGTTTATAAATAAAGAGATTCGAACTCGAAAAGGCTTATGGATATGATGAATGGCATATAGGACTGCTATAGGAACTTAACAACGGGAAACTGGACTTGGATCAATGGAAAACCACTGACCATAGACAAATGGCAGAGGGGCAAGCCTACTGACAGAGGGTTCTACACTACGTTCGCCAGGAGTGGCCACTTGGACATAAGGGATCGTTTAACAGCATCACAAGGAAACATTTTATAGAGAATGGATTTGCGAAGAAGAAACAGGTATACATACGGAGTGAATAACATCAGTGAGAGCCCAATTTAAAAATTGGCATCCATTTCAAATAACATAAGCTCCCATCTATATATGCTACCCTCCCCCGTAACCCAGTTATAGTGTAACTGTTGTCCCCGTATAATATACGCGCACGATTTTCATCAACTGAATGAGTCTTGGTTCTGGCCACACACGAAAACTACATTTAGAATCTCAAGTAAGTGCACAGTCCCCCAGTATGTATGGAGAGTCATGCCCTATTTTTACCAAAAATGGTAAAAAAAAACATTGCCTAATATATGGTAGTATCCACCTCCCGGTAGATACCTCCCATAAAGGGGCACCGATCAGTGGTGAGTCGTGGTCATGGCCAAACACAAACACTATATTTGTAAGATGGTTGATGGGTATATGTATAACGGAAGTTGTTCTTGTCCAACAGATAACTGCCAAGGAATCTGTTTTCATAATCTGTTGCCGACAATCTCAACACCGCCAGTGACTACTACTTCCACCGCACAAAGGGGAACTTCAACGACATATGACCACACCAATGTTTCAGGTTAGATCCTCTATGGCTACAAAACCAAGGGCAAATACAGTGATTTGAAAAACCAGATGACGTTTCTTGTCATAAAAAAGGAGCAGGGATGACGCAATTGTAAGACGAGCACTCGCCTCCCACCAATGCGGCCCGGGTTCGAATCTCGGACCCGGCGTCATATGTGGGTTGAGTTTGTTGTTGGCCGTTACTCATCCTCCTCTTCCTCCCTCCTCCTCTTCCTTCTCCTCCTCCTCCTCCTCCTCCTCCTCCTCCTCCTCCTCCTCCTCCTCCTCCTCCTCCTCCTCCAGGGGAGAACATTTGACACCTCCTGTCCTATAAGGCGACGCTTGCCACAGATGAGTCGCGTACGTAGACTGCAAAACAATCGTTAT